AAAAAAAAAAGAATTACATTAGATAAAATAATAGATAAGACAAACACAAAATATTTGTGATTGAATTATTTACGATCGTATTGAATAAAATAAGGAATATCGATTTTTGAATCTTGGTCAAGATATTTTTGAAGAGGGTTATCGCTATAAATTAAAAAATTTAGTAAGTCAACCTTCCAAATTCCTCTTCAAAAGATGAATACATACAATTTCCCTTCAGGCTTATTACGACCGGTGACAGAACTAATAAAAGGAATGCTATCGACACTAGGCACAGGAAAATTTTCAATAACACTAGAAGGTATAGGTACGTCATTTGATTTTATGGCTTTCTCTAAGCGCTCTTCTAATTCTTTTAATTTGTCTGTTCCTAAATTCTCGATTTGTTTTTCAGTACGTTTTTTTTCTTGTTCTGCCAATGTTTCAGCAAGTGTAGCAGAAGGTCTGCCCAAGATTGTTATGTTCGGATTGTCTAAATGATATTTTTTTAGATATTGTATCCATTGTTGTTCAGTAAACTCAGATAACTGATCGTAATATTTTAAGTCTTTTGTTGCTCTCTCTAAATATTCTCCTGTTTCTTTGCCATAAACATAATCTATTAAAAGAGAAAATCAAGTAAGTTAAAAGGTAAAAATAATTGTTTATATAATTAATGTTAAGTACTAACCTATGATACAAAGATCGCTAAAATAATTATGTGGATTTGTTTCAATAATATTTAGAGACTTTAATAAAAAAAATTAGCATATAATTCGGTAAATAAAAACCTCGTATAAGTTTAGGATAATATCTTACCCTTAATTTCACTAATCGTATAACGGTTTTCATACGATTCATGTCGATTCCTTCACTTTCAACAATTCTTTGAAATACTTCTAATACACTATCTGCTAAATCATCTAATTCAGAAGTTGGAACATTATAAAAAGTAGCTAAAATAGCTGTACGAGTTTGAGGTTGAACTGATATATCAATATCTAAGTGTAGTATATTGGGAAGATAAGTAAAAGCATTAACAAAATTGATTATGTATATTGAATAATCATTAAGCGATATTACCTGTACATAATGGATCTTCCGTCTCTACAAATTCTTTTTGTAATACTGAAACCGCTGAATCTGATAAATATCTAAATTAATAGTAAAAGAAAATGTAGTGTTGTAAGTAAATGTAATATTCAAAGCAGCATATGATATTTATTTACTCATGAAGAACTTCTAATGCTACTATTTCCAAGAATTCCTAATGAATGTAAAAAGAAGTATAAGCATTCAGATACAATTAATTTGATTATTTCCGTTATAACTTCTCTAATACTTACATCGACTAATGGACCCAACCAAACAATAAGTAATTGACCAACACTTTCATCTTCATCAGGAAATTCTACTTGGTCTCTAATAGACTTTTCAAGTAACGGAATTGGTGGGGAATCTACAAATGGTCTGATAAATAAAAAGTAGAAGTGGTATTCATCAGTATCTTCTTGTTTTGCATTAATTAGACTTCTTACCTTTTATGAGTTGGCAAAGAGCCTTTTGTCTTCTCGGATATCCTCTTATCTAGTGGATCAAGTGTTTTTAATAGTTCATTATATGAAATATTTCCAGTAATAATGAGACATAGATTATCCGGTCTATAATAATCTTTATGATACTAATCAAAGCATATTCAAGTAATAGTATTAGAAATATATTATTAAAAGGATATTTTGATAAATCATACTTACTTGACGGACTAATAATAAAAAAGTTTATTAGAAAAGAATTGATTATTCAAAATCATTTGCTATAATTATAATACTTACTAGTTTCTACACTGAGTGTTCTTAGTTTTTCCATGAGACCACCAGTTTCATAGCGATATCCACATCCTTCTGGATATATCAATCGTCGATACCTAAAACCAAATTTTAATTTAGTATGGGAATTAGAATGTTTAAGCAAAAACATTCAATTTGTTTGTAAATTTACTTTAATTCAATGCGAAATTCATCGGAATTTTCTCGTCCCTATAAATATAATATTACAAACAATTTTTTTTTTTTACAAAAAAAATAGAAAATTCGAATCACAATAACTATAAACAATGGTTACCTGCATTTCACTGTAAACCACCTTAGATAGAAACGACTAAGATTAATAATAAAAACATATGGATCAAAATAATAAATAATCTGTACCCCTACAATGATACATAAATAAAGTTATTAATGTTTAAATAAAAGATTTCTGTATATAACAAAATACACATACCAGCATTTTCCCCTTTTCCATTAATATGATGAACTTCAGTATAACATCCACTTTCAGTTAACGTAGGATAAAGGATATGATCCACATAAATGGGTAATAAATTTAAAAACCCCTCACTTCCTGCCGTTTGGATTGTATATGTTGTATTATCTTGTGCCGTCCATGCATTTGTCCCATTAGCATACGCTCTATTAGCCAGTGTATCTAAAACTCCCTATAAAATATTTAAATTAATTGATTAAAATAATTCTCAAAGTTATTCAAGTTATTACTAAAAATCTTCGATACCTTGTGGGGATATAGTTCACTTCCAAGGAACACTAGGCTATATTATATGTTTCTATGTGAGAATTATTTCATGTATTAGATTTTATTATTATCAAAGAATAAACATACTGTTCTAAAGTATGAGGGCATCCGTAATCATCCGCAGCTATTAATGATAAATTATTAGAAAAAAATCATTAATTTTCTCAATGGTATTATTTATAAATACCTTCTGTAGCAACTAAGAAATTCCCATTAACTATCGATTCTATGATAAGAAAAAAATGAAATTACGACTTTAAATTATTACATTCGGGTCAAAACATTTGGACAAATTCTATTATAATCGAATTAATACCTTGGGTTTCAATGAGAATTACTGTTAATCCTGTAACTTCGGATTTGGATTTTGTAATGTTGATACCAAATTCTGTTTCAATCGATTTTATTATTTTAAAGTTCATGATGAAATGAAAAAAAATTTTTTATCCGAAAATCCATGAAATTCCTGATATATTTATATCATTGTGTAAGTGGACCGGATTGGTTAATCAGCTAGTTTATTAGATGGTGATTTCATAATAATTAATAAGTTTTTGACAGTCAAAAAAAATGTCTCTCAGATGCTTTAAATTAATATCTCCTTTTATCACACAGCCCTATAGAATCATGCACCAATATTTCTTTATATGAATATATCTTTATACAATATTGCTATATGGGTTGATTGCTAGGAAAATCAGGTTCCGGGAATTTTTTAGCAAAATTGAGATTTTTATTGCATTTTAGTTTTTGATGTTATTAGATTAAAATGTATTAAGCTCTTTATTTTAGTCAAAAATTTCTCGGAACCCGATTTTCCTAGAAACACTCCCATATATTAAAAAATAGTAAAAATTTAAGAATCTGTAATGTTTATTTTCAAATTAACCTGTTGTAAAACTCCACTATTTATCAAATCAAATAAATTACTCGTATTTATAATAATTTCTAAGTTAGTATTGCTAGAATCAATTTCTTTTAATGTTTCGCGTAGATTTTTTGAATCATCCATTTTTGATATTTTACATTGAGAAATCATAGCTAATAAAAAATTAAAATTTATTAAATATAATTGCAATTTGATATGACTGAATGTTGGTTTAAATGGCAATAAATTGCTGAAACAGCTGCTTTAATTAAAGAAACAGAATATTCATTACCATTTTGCTATTTCATTGCTGCCAAATAATTGAGAATCCATTGCTTTTTTACCTCTAGTTTTCCTTCATAATTATTATTAGCTCAAAAAATTTTTTACAGCACATGTCCAATTATTGGTAGAATATTTAGTATTCTTAACTTTTTCAATTTTGCAGAAGAAATTAACATTTTTTTCCAAATTATCATTTGAAACCTTATTTCAAAATCATAAAATTATTATTTTAAATAATATTAAAAAATTTTATTATTATGTAATATTATAACTTAAATTTATTAAAGTATTTTGTAAATTTTGCTATTTTAATATGATATATTAAAGATCAATAATAAAGAAAAAATTTATTTAAGAAATAAAAAACAAGAAAGGAAGACAAAGTTTTAAAAAAAATATTTATTATTAAATAAATTTTATGTAAAGTATGATTTGCATTAACCATCAATAATATGAATATTGTACAATGATATTTACATTGTTTAATATTATTTCATGATATTAACTAAAATGAAAATTATTAAAAGTTTATATTGAAAAAATTTGTATTACATTATTTGTAAAATTGAAAATTTAAGATTAGATTAGAATTAGAAATATTTTAAAAATGTAACAATAGATAAATATATATATTAATATATTAGAGTTTTGAATTAGATTAGGTTAACCTATTTATCTGACCTGACCTGATCTAAAAATTCAGATCAGATCAGTAAATTTTCAGGTTAATATCAGTTTAGATTAATAGATCAACTTAATCTAACATGACAAAATTCAGGTTAACCAATTATTATTCTTGAACGATAGTTTTATTATTCTTAAATAATATTTTATTATCTTTGAATAATGATTTTATTGTTCTTGAATAATATTTTATCATTTAATTAAAATAATATTTTTATCATCTTTAAATGACTGTATTATCATTCTTAAATGATATTTATTATTCAATTAGAATAATTTATTATTATTTTTAAATAATATTTTATTATTTAATTAGAATAATTCATTATCATTCAAGAATGATATGTTTATCATTTAAAAATAATTTGTTTATCATTTTTGAATGATAATTTTATTAATCAGATCAGATTAAATCAGGTTAAGTAAAATTTAAATTAAGTCAGATTTTTATTTGATCTGACTTAATCCTCTTAGTTTAGGTAATTTGATTGATTTAACCTAAATTAATCTATTCTAAATTCTAAAATATAAAATAATATAAAATATATATTAAAAAATATATTAAATAAAATATATAATAACTACAAAAAAAATACAAGTAATCATTTTTTTAATTTTTAAGTTTTGAAGATTTATTTTATATTAGAAAATTTAGTTTAATTAAGAATTTTAATTTTGTATAAATTATTAATTTATACAAAATCTGTATTTAGTAAAATTTTACTAATAGAAAAAAATTTTAAGTAATATAAGTAGGATAAGACTTTTTATATATATGCTAATCCTATTTATATTATATAAATATATCAAGTTTCATAAGTATTAAATTGGTAATTACTAAGCTATTCAAATTTAAATATTACTTATAAAATCATTTAAAAAAAATAATTTTATAAGTAAATTGATAATATTTAAATTTAAATAATTCAGTTATTATTAGCTTAATATGTATGAAATTTGGTATTCTTATATAATATAAATAGAGCTCACTATATATAAAAGACATTATTCTACCTATGCTATTTAAAATTTTTTCTACTAATAAAATTTTATTAAATACAGATTTTTGATATAAATTAATAATTTATATAAAATTGATATTCTTAATTTAAAAAATTTCTAATATAAAATAATTTTCAAATATAAAAATTAAAAAATATATAAAATTATAACTCTAATATTTATATTTAATAAATTATAAGCTTTTAAACCTAAAAATAACTACTTATATTTCTTTTAGTGATTACTATATTAAATGTAAAATAAAATATATTAGTATTTGTGTCATGTAATAATTATTAATAATAATTATATCATTATATTCACAAATATAATTAAACACTAATAAAATTTATTCTAATATAGTAATTTGATATAATGATTATAATATATAATATTAGATTAACAAATACAAACTACTATAATTTTCTCTTTAACATATATATAATGCATAATAAATTTATAAATTATGATATCTAATATAAGAATAAAATTAAAAAAAATAAAATATCTATTTAATATGAAAAATATTTTATAAAGTAATATAAAATCAGATTACAAAAAAGAGCAAGAGAAAATAAAAAAGAGCAAAAATATGTAAAGTATGTAATCAAAAGTAAAAATACATAAATTAATAATAAAAATAGATAAATAGTAATAAAAATGTTTTAATTATCTTAAATTAAAGGATATTCAAATTATAATAAACTATTTACAATAATAAAATTTATAAAAAAAGTCTTAAAATAGTGATATAAATTAATGCAAAAGTATAAATAGTATAAATAGTGCAAAAGTATATACTAATACTAGTGTATTTAATAAATTTAAGTGAGATTATTTGTATTCACATTATATTATGTATAATAAAAATTTTTATTTATAGTTATCATAAAAGGAATTATTATAAAGTAAATGCTTCAAAAAATTTTTAGCATATAATAATATAAATTTAGATAAAATATCTTATGAATTTCAAAACCTTATAAAAGTTAAGAAAATATTAGTTGTAAATAAAGGTCAGAACCGGTTATCGATATCAGATTTATAACCGGTTTTTATCGTATCAGATTAAAACCGGTTCAGAATTTTGTAAAATCGATAACTGATTATATTTATAATCGATAACCAGTTTTTATCGGTTTATAATATAGGAGTACAGATGACGGTAAATTCTGTCATTTTCATTTGAAAATCAATCACATACATACTTTATTATGCATTAT